CGACCAACGTAAGTAAGTAAGTAGTAGTAGTACTACTACGACACTACGTACTCTACTAACTAACACACGAGTAACTACCTCTCTCTCTCTCTCTCTCTCTCTCTCTCTCTCTCTCTCTGGTCTATTTTATTGGTATTACAAGAGGAGTATAAAACTATTGTAAGCTTTTTATTGCTTTTGGTGTGTACAGCTGTGAGGAATGGCAAATTAATCGGCCCCGAGGTAATGTCTCTAACCCCTTTTAAATTCGATTTGATTATTCTTCTTGTAAAGCCTTGCATTTGCACTCTTCTTTATTTGGGCTAGATTTTTTCCATATGAACTTTAATCTCTTGTGTCAAATGAATCGTTTCCATTGACAATGTTTTGTTAACTATAGTTGGAATATGTAAAAGCAGCTTTCATGATTAAAAAATGTCTAAAAGTATAGTGACATTCCTAGAATATTTCGTTTTTTATTCAAAGATATAGATAAACAATTAAAATTTTAATTTGTAAAATACCATACTTTGGTAATGAACTTAAGTCTCTCTCATCATCATTTATTATTATTATTATTATTATTATTATTATTATTATTATTATTATTATTATTATTATTATTATTATTATTTGTTATTTTATAGTATGGGAAGTTTTTTTTTGTATATACCTACCTGCTTAATTGGTAAAAGAAAAACTCATTAGTTGCTAGGTTGTCTTCCATCAATTGTTTTTAGGGAAATTTATCAAAATACACATAAGAGATTAACTATTTAACATTTTAACCCATATTTCTTGTTTGATTTCTAAATACCTATAAAAATATATATGACATGTGTTGGAATAGTTGAAAATAGATAAATTATTACAAAGTTAAATTCATTTTGATAAATTTCCCCTGTTTTTATGAGATCATTTTCATGCATCCGATGCATCTTTGCATCTCGGAGCGGGCCACTTGCCTACTGAAAAAAAAACTGATTCCATTGCTTGCCTACCCCTCAAAAGAAGTCTCTTTATGTCTAATTGTTTCTATGATTGTTTTGTTTAATTCAATAATAGCATCCACATTAGATTTTTTTGCATTTTTGTAGTGAAATTTCCAAGTAGCCGACAAGAATTAATTGGAAAGAGGTTAAAATGATGATAATGATGAATCATGAATCAAGAGTATACTAATAAGTAGGAAATGAAATTTTTCAGGCAGCTTCCGATTTTCTCCATGTATACCCAAAGGGACTTGAAGATCTTCTACTCTATATTAAGAAAAGATACAACAGTCCTGTCATTTACATCACAGAAAATGGTAGCATATCTCTCTCTCTCTCTTTTCCATTCTCTGAAAGCCTTCACCTTCAGCTTTTTATCTCTCTATTCGGGTTTGTTTCTCTCTCTTATATCTTATATGCAGTACATATTGATGTTCCTTAATTTCAACTATGTTCCATGGTTTGAACAGGCATAGATGAGTTTAACAATGCGTCAGTGCCTCTTAAGGAGTCTCTTAACGACCCGATGAGAGTAGATTTCTACAAAGGCCACACTTACTACCTACATCGAGCCATCCAGTAAGTTCACACCATCACCCAAACAATTGTGTGCATAAAACGGATCAGACAAGCTTGGAATCGCTTAGAAGTGTTGTCCAGTAAAATTTGGTCCGACTAATGGTTAAATCAGTTTGACCAGAATTTCAAAATATTAATAAAAATATGAATAATAGTTTAAAAAATAAGTAACATATGATTAAAAAGTGCAACCCATTTTGTTTGGAACAAGTTAAGACCGACCAGAACCCAGTATTTATTTTGACAAGTTGTTTACCAAATGTATTTCTTACTTTGAACCAGACCCAGGTCCAGGTTTAGTTGGACCGCCAGGTCCAATATTGATAACTATGCATAAAAACCACTATCATATAGTATGAAACAACCATATTGCACCCGTAAGCCGTATTTGGGCCCAATATGGATGATTCCATATTTTTATTCATGTATTATGTATAATTCGAAAGTAACAGGTTTCCTTAAAAATCAGCTGGGGAACATTTTGCGGAATCCTCCCTTTAAAGAAGTATAATATAATATTTTGTTTTAATTCAAACGACACACTAGTGGGTCCTTATATATCTACTTGTATTTTTGTCGAACTTTTAATAAAGGAAGGGCACATCTCAACTTTCCATTGTTGACATCCGATGGTTGAGAAATAAGTTAGCTTATTGTTCGAAACCGAAATGTTATCATAGTATAGTGTACACTCCTAAACTCTGTTATGACACAGCAAGCTTGTTTAAAATTATACACATTATTATTTCACAAAAATGACTAAAAGACATTGAATTTCTTAGAAACATTAACAAAATCCATATATATAAAAAACTTAAAACCAGTAGTAGAGCACTAGGCTTAAGCAAAATGAAAAAAGTGCCTAAACACCCTTGTCATTCATAGCTGGAGTCACGACGTAGGACACTGTTGATGAGAAATTACAAGAGTACCATTTCATTCTCTTGAGAAATTTGGATAAAGGTGGAGAATAAGGGGAAAATTGTGGGTTTCAGGAAAGGAGTGAATGTGAAAGGCTACTTCCCATGGACATTCTTGGATGACTTTGAATGGAACTCTGGTTTCACTGTTCGTTTCGGCTTCGTTTTCGTTGACTATAAGACTTTGAAGAGGTACCCAAAGCGCTCTGCTTATTGGTACAAGAACTTCCTCAAGGGCTAGATCCACCATTAATGGAGCTCAGAGAAATAAAATGACTTAATCGTTCAAACACGTTAGACACCTGGTGAACGTGCTTCTCCCCTTTGCGAGTTGTTGAGTGTTTTTCTCTTACTTCGGCTTGCTTATCTATTTGTTTCCTTTCTTGTATTCCTGTTATAATAAATGTATGGTGATTGAAGACATTGAGGATTTTAGTGATAATAAAATGCCTTGGAGGTTTTAGTTGAGCGGAATTCTACTTTTGATTCTACTTTGGTGGAATTCTAATGAATGTGGATTGCCATTTTTTCTTTCTTTTTATTTAGTTGAGGTGTAGGAATCTGAGAGATATAGTGTTGCTTAGTGGGGATGACAGGTATCTACCCGTTTTTTAATTAGTAAATAAAAAGACTACCCTTTTTCTTTTTCTTTTTTTTTTTGTAATTTAGTGGGGATGACAAGTATCTACGCGTTTTACCCTTCTTCCTTTCTGTTTTTTTGTCATTTAGTGGGGATGACAGGTATCTACCCGTTTTTTAATTAGTTAATAGTTTTCAAAACTGTCAAAGGAAATGGAACCCACTAAAGAATTTTAAAGAGAGAAATGAACTTTTGAAAAAATAATTGTACCCCACACAGATTTATGGTGCTTCTTGTATTGTATATATAATGCTGATACAATAGTATAATACACACTTTCTTAACTTATTGAAGACAGTATACAATGTCCTATCTTGTGTCATTCTCCTCTCAAAAAAAAAGAGTGATACACTTTCCTTTCTTGTCACTTTCTTATCTTGTTCGAATTTTGTTTCTATTACTCCCCCTCAAACTCGATTGAGAATGCATTTGAATCACAAGTTTGAAGAAAAGATCTCGAAAAACACCTCGTGGCACATGCTTGGTGAAGATATCAGCTATTTGATTGCGAGAGGAAACAAATCGAGTGATAAGCAATCCAAGAGCAATTTTTTCACTTACAAATGATAGTCTAACTCAATGTGCTTTGTCAATTTCACTGCTTAACGTCAATTTCTAATCACCAAGGCCCAAAAATGAAAAGACTATCATTCTTCCCTTTTTTTTTGTAATTTAGTGGGGATGACAAGTATCTACCCGTTTTTTAATTAGTAAATAGTTTTCAAAACTGTCAAAGGAAATGGAACCCACTAAAGAATTTTAAAGAAATAAATAAACTTTTGAAAAAATAATTGTGCCCCACACAGATTTATGGTAGTTCTTGCATTGTATATATATAATGGTGATACAATAGTATAATACACACTTTCTTAACTTGTTGAAGACAATATATACTTTCCTAACTTATGTCTTCTCCTCTCAAAAAGAAAGAGTAATACACTTTCCTATCTTGTTCAAATTTTATTTCTATTATTCCCCCTCAAACTCTGTTGAGAATGCATTCGAATCATAAGTTTGAAGCAAAGATCTCGACAAACATCTCATGGCAAATGCTCGGTGAAGATATCAGATATTTGATTGCGAGATAAAACAAATCGAGTGATAAGCAATCCAAGAGCAACTTTTTCACGTACAAATTGATAGTCTAACTCAATGTACTTTGTCCGTGCATGAAAAACAAGGGTAAATGTTAAATAAATAGCACTAATATTTTCACAAAAAAGTGTTGGTGGCTGAGGAAGAGGCACCTCAATATCCCGAAAAATAAAAGAAAGTCATGTCAATTATGCAGTAGTGAATGTCATAGATCGGTATTCCGCTTCAGCATTTGAACGAGCCACAATCGATTGTTTCTTAGCACTCCAAGATATGTAGTTGGAACCAAGATAGGTGTAGAAACCAGTGGTTGAATGGTGAGTGTTTGGACACTCAACCCAGTTTGCATCGGATGAAGCATATACTCAAGGGAATTATCAGATAAGATTCTGATACCGCATAATTGTGTACCATTGAGATAATGAATAATCCGCTTCGCTGCCTGAAATTGTGCAATTATAGGGGCATGCATAAATTGACACACTGTATTAACACTATAAAAAAGGTCAAATACTGTTATGGTAATGTATTGGAGTGCACCAACAATGCTCTAATAGGGATGGATCATGAAATGGATTAGAATTCTTATGAATATTATTCTTTATTGCTATTGGTATTGAAAGAAATTTGGCACCGAGCATCTGATCATGATCAAAAAGATCCTGAGCATATTTGCTTTGCCATAGAAAAATTCCACCTGAAAAATAAGATACCTTTATTCCAAGAAAGTAATGAAGAGGTCCAAGATCTTTCATTACAAATTTCATTCCAAGTTGGGAAATGAACCACTCTAGAAAATCCGAATTATCACCGGCAACAATAATCTCATCAACATAAAGGAGATGGATAATAATTCCTTGAGTAGTGTGAGAAACAAATATAGATGAATCAGCTATACTGCAATAAAAACCCAATGATAATAAATAGATACTAAATATATCAAACCAGGCCCGTGGTACTTACTTGAGACCATATAAAGCTTTTCTTAATTTATAGACATAATTTGGGTATTTTGAGCTTATAAATCCAAAGGTTATTCCATGAATACAGGTTCTTTAAGAAAGCCATGCAGTAAAGCATTTTTCACATCAAACTGTTTGATATGCCAATGGCCCACAATAGCTATGGTGAGCTCAATCCAAATATTAGCATGCTTAACAACAGGACTAAATATTTCAGATAAATCAATTTTAGCAACCTGAATATATCCTTTAGCAACTATTCTGGCATTAAGTCTCTCTAGACTACCATCAGACTTTGATCTAATCTTATAAACCCAACGACAGCCAGCAATATTTATACCTGGAAGATGTGGAACTAGCTCCCAAGTGGAGTTAACATGTAAGGCTTCAATTTCTTCTTCTATTGGTAGTTTTAGGTTCAGAAGGGATAACGTCAAAAGCATGAGGACTTGAGATTGCTATCATGGATGGGAGAATCCAAGGTTTTCGAGTAACATCTTGAGATCTTATTATCATGTAATGGCGAGGATGCTCAAAGGCTGATAAAAAATTAGAGTGGTTGGTTGCTTGAGTGGTAGCATTTTCGTCACGATGATTGTGTGTTACATCATCCTGGATATCTTAGATTGGTGTTGCAGCGGTGATATCCCCCTCTATAAGAGAAGTTGGAGAGCTATCATCAATGATGGCCAAAGTAGGACCAAAGGGACTAGATACATCAAGGGCGTCATGTATGGGTGATTTATGTGGAGGTGATGAATTAGAAGAGGAAGCAGTCAATATGTCAGACTGACCATTCTACACAGGTGGATAGCTCCCCCTGAACCAGAGCAATATCAAACAAAGAATTGGGGTTAGCATAAGGATATAAATACAACATGTTTAGAGATATAGACTCGTCCTGTGGGTGAATGTAGATATCTGCAGCCCTTATGCTAGATATTATAGCCCAACAATACACATGGAAGAGGGCGATGACATAATTTATCTGCAGCATAGTCTCGAAGGTATAGAAAACATCGACAACCAAAGACCCATAGTGAATAATAGTCTGATAAGCAACCAAACAACAAAGAATATGATGAATCCATTTGCAAATTGCCTAAGGGAATCCTGTTTATTACAAAGACTACAGTATGAAAAACTTCAACCCAAAACCGTTTGGAAATTCATGCATGAAACATCATTATAAGATTCAATTTTATAATATTTCAATATTTTCTTTCAGCTATTCCGTTTGTTCAAGTGTTCCCAGACATCATAATTGTTGCACAAAGCTATTCTCAATAAATGAGCAATGAATTCTTTCTTAACAAAGTCCATCACATTGAAAAATTCGAATTCGTTTCTCAAATTCCCTTTCAACCATGCGATGAAATTTTACAAATGCAAAGAAAAAATTCAAATGTTTTTTTCAAATGATAAATCCAAAAAAAACGAGTGTAATCATCCATCCACAAACATCACATAATTATGTTACCCTTGATTAGATAAAACGGAAGTAAGACCCTATAAATGTAAATGAATATTAAAAAGAGGTTCTATAGAGGCCTTATCAGTACTACTAAACGGAAGTTTGCAACAAGCACAAACAAAATGAGATTTATTTCATGCATCAATATTAATCCATTGTTTACATTCTAAGTAACGGCCTACTTTATTTTGAGGATGTCTGAGTCGTTGATGTCGCACATCTTCTGATGTTATCTTATTTTCATTAGAAAATAAAGCTTCTTTCACATTAATAAGTACATAAAGTTCGTATTTTCTACTCCCATGGGCTAAAATTCTCCATGTGCTCATTTCCTTAATAAAAAAACCATTTGTTGAGAACTCAAAAATACAAGGAAAATCTGTTGTAAACTAGCTAACAAATAATAAATAATTTTTCATCTTTGGCACCAAAAGAACATTAAAAATATTCAATTTTTCAGATCTGATATCAATATTTGCATCACCAACATGTGAAATAGTCAGCTGCTCTTCATTGCCAACCATGACCGTATCTCTACCACTATAAAGGCGAAGGTTTTACCGTTTACTTGGTTCTTCTATCATATGAGTTGAGGCACCAGTGTTTGAGAACCATTCTGAGTCTTGGGATTTTGCTATAGTCACTGCAACCAAAGCTTGAAGAATGTCTTTTTCTTGGTACATATGATTGAATCGGTACCAGCACTTTGATGCCGTATATCCAAATTTTTCACAAATTTGACATTTTTTCTGCATTGTCTGAGCTGATTGTGGCATTTGTGATTCTTGTTGGAACCTTTGATTCACGTATTGCATAGATGTACCACCACTTTCTTGGTTTATCTTAGGCACTCCATGTCCCCCATTATTGTTCTGGTATGTTTGAGCAAATCAACGCCCCCGATAATCGAAAAACTGTTGATCACCAAAGTTATGTCTGCCTCTATCTCTGTTAGGTCCATAATTTCTCTGTTGTCCAATAAGAGCCATATTTTGATTTAGATATGAGTGTTCTATAGAGACATGAGGCCAATTTCTAATCCCTGTGATCCAGCCTTTAAGAAACCAGTCGGACTTTAACCATGATTTGTAGTCTGGGTTTTTTATTTCACTCTTACCATCACTAGAGGAAATCTTTTGAGTTGTTGTTGGGCAATTACCATTAATAAATCGAGAAAGTTCTTGACTCTCAATCGGTGATAGCATTTAGGTTTCCCACAATAAATAGTTGTTTTGTATCAAATTAATTGACACAAAATTTCCTATGTTAGCGTGGAGAGATATGGATATTTGGATATTGGAGTGTCCATTGGATCCAAGGGATCTTTGAGGATTAGTGAATGGTACACAACGGAACTTCAATTTACTAAAGATAGAATGGGTTTTAGTGGGCGTTGGAAGGCTTCTTCTTTTTTCTTTATTTTTTTTTTTTTGAAAGAAGACGTGAGAAAGATAAAAGACATAAGAGGGTAACGGCTTGAAGGTTTTTCTGTTTGAAAAAGTGAGAGAATATTATGGTTAAAGAGGATGTAAAAAAAAAAGTGGGACGTGAGATAGATGGAGGTAATGGCTTGAATTAAAGAGTTTGGAAGAAGGAATGAGAGCACTTGAAGGTAAGGATTGATGGCATGAAGGGGATGGCTTACGAAGAAAACAAGACCTGAAAACAAAAAACAAATACCGTGAGTGAAGGTTGCTGGTTGAAGCGCCGAGGAAAGAAAAATATCGTTAGTGAAAGTTGCTGGTTGAAGCGCCGAGGAAAGAAAAATATCGTGAAAGAAATGAATTTTTGAAAAAATAATTGTACCCCTTACAGATTAATAGTGGTGCTTGCATTGTATATATACTGATGATATAAGAGTATAATATACAATTTTTTTAACTTGTTGAAGATAATATATATTTTCCTATCTTATGTCATTCTTCTCTTAAAAAAAAAAAATAATACACTTTCCTATCTTATTTGAATTTTGTTTCTATTAGCCGGAGCCCTTAATTTCCCTCTATCTACAAGCCAAATGACAATTGTTAGGAGGTCGACAATTGTTAGGAGGTCCCATGGGGCTAAATTATTCATTTGTTTCTACAAGTCAAAACATTAGTTAGGGGAAATTCATATGCCCCAAAACACTCAATGGTGTTTATTAGACTCTAAGATCAAACTCTCGGGAAAACAAAAATGGATTTACCGCTCAAAATTTTACCCTAAATCGAAATCAGTTCTATAGCTAAATTTGGAATGTCTATTTTGATGGATCTCATTATGCTGGAATTTTGAAACAAAAAAAATTCACCTTTTTTTTAAATCGATCTATGGATGCAATAAATGTTTCAATAGAAAGTTTATGCCACGCTCATTCCCCTAACTGTGAGAACATACGTAAGATTTGATCCCATAGGACCACCATATTCGCTCCCATTAAAGTTAAAACAAAAATAGCATGCGAGGAAAAGGAAGATATTATCTTAAGTAAATGGGATTGTTTAGGGGAGATTAGTTATCTTTTTATACATGATGGTCAAAATCATTTTCACTCTTTAAATATCAAATTGGATTGTCTAGGGTGTCATGAAATTCGAGAATTATTTTTTAAAAAAACTATGTCTATTCAATGACACTCTTATAACTACTCATTTTGTAATTTAAAAGACAAGAATGATTGTGACCTCCATATATAAAAAAATAAATAGTCCCTTTTATAGATAATCTCCTAGTAAATAAAAAATAATGCACGATCTAAGACCCATGCAGCCCCTCAGGTTTTTGTATGAGTTCATTGAAACCAGAAGAGGATCCATGCAACCCCTCAGGTTTTTGTACGAGTTCATTGAAACCAGGAGAGGTTGTTGAACGTTAAATTGTGTTCACATATATCTCATTTAAGAGTCTTTAAGGGAAAAAAAAACAAAGAAAATAAATTCCCACAAGGAAATTGACCTCCCATTTTCAGCGCAGACGCAAGCACAAACATGTCTCAATTCTAAGCTGCTGCAATTGACAGTTCGACATGCATCAAATCTGGATTCTAGGTGGCATTTTTATTTTTTATTTTCTGACGCGACAATGGTGGTGGGAATGAAGGACGGGACGTTATGCTCAGACATCAGCACTAGGTAGCATCCTTTAAAACTAACATTTTGGATGCACCTGTCGTTTATTAAATCAATGTCAAAATTCTATATTTTTAAAAGATTTCAAAACCCCCTCAATTGAAAATAAAATAACTTTCAGCATGCTAACAGAGGCCCTAATTTAAGGGTGAACAAGGCTGCATTTTCAGTAAAGAATTAACATTTTGTGCATATTATTATTAGGCAAAAGAAACACACCAATGTTAAGAATTAGATTATCTTTCAATCCCATCCAAAGTTTGAATCTTAATGGATCGAGAGTAAACTAGTCAATCATGACTGAGCAGGTACCATATATCCCTTCATTCAACCAAACGATCAGTAAGTAAGACATCATCTAAATGACATCCATCCCTTCATTCAACCAAAGATACTGAGACATCATCTAAATGAATCATGTTCCTGGATTTCAACATATTAACTTGAACTTTATGAGTTGCATCCATTTTCCAGCAAAATAAGATAAAATCAAAACTTCAATTTTGGATTTCAGCTGAAAATTTCTAATGTGACGGTTGCTTTGGAAAGTGAAGCTGAGAGTCGAATCTGAAGCCTGCTGATTTGTACGAGAACCAAAACACTAGGTCATGGTGTTGATCCCTGCTGTTATCTAGATTTTTCAATCCTCAAGGAGGTTTGCCAAATTTCCAATTAGTCTTAATCAAATCGTTCCACTTTATTCCAAATTTCGAATCAGTCTCGAGTCCTGATCGGTCGACAGTTCAGATGCTACTCAATATGGTGTTGATTTCTCCAATGATATTAACAGGCCTTCCATCAAACATGGATGACAGCGTTGTTTCACACAGTTTCTTCAACTCCCTGGTTTTCAACAGCATTGCTTCCTACAAAGGAGATGAAAATTTTCTTGAATAACCATGAACACCAAATGTTATATATCCATGGAAAGAACCATATTCCTGATCATCAATGGTAGAAGCACAAATTTAAAATGCATACTCAATGTGTTTTTTGATGTTTCAGGTTCATGTATGAAATGAAAGACTTGACTTACCAGGAATACAAATAAGTGCAATGAGAAACACAAACTTCCTCAATACCATGCCCGTATCAAATAGGAAAGTATATAACAAGGACAGTTTACCTTTGGTCGAAAAAGATCACAATCACCCCAATATATCAGATGTGAAATAGGACGGCTGGGGGTGTTCCATTGGCGGTACCCAAAGTCTGAGCAAATTTTTCTCAAACGTTGTGTGAAGTAGTGACACATGTGACGATAGATTTCCCACAAAAATGAACATACTGACTGTGGTAGTTTATTATTTTCTTGTGAAACCAAAACACATAGGCTTTAAAGTTTTTTTTTCAGAATTTTTTTTTCTAAATATTAGATGACACTCACCAAGTCTGATTTCTCATTATTTCAGCATGGGGCTCATCAGAACCCCACACCAAGCCCAAGTTTCAAGACATTGTATTAAAAACAAACCATAAAGCTGTCGCGAATATGACACCAATGCCAAGACAAACACGAGACTAAAACCAGCTTCTATCTACCAGTCATAATGTTGAAGATAGTCCGGAAAAAAGAACTAGCTGAAGGCTAGGTGTTCAAGATGGTAGGGCATGGGCATTACAATATAACATCTTGAATTCTATTTCTACCATGTGTATGGGACCCCTTCCCCCTTGAACAAACCCAAAGGGTAACAAAAAACCCACCCCCAAAAAAACAAAAACAAAAAACCAAAAACACTCAAAAAAAATAGGAAAATATACGGAAGAAAAATGATAAACAACACAAAATATATATAAACAAATACAATAAAAATGTTTTCAAAAATAGTAGAAAGCTTAAAGATCATCCTCTCAAAAATAAATAAGAAGAAATAGAATAATCATAAAGAATCACGACAACCTAAAAAGTACATACAAAGTTAATTATCAATCAATTATAATTGATTTGTTCAAAGATTAAATCAATAAATATCAGGTATAATAAATTTTAATCAATTATATATACCCCCGAAGCTGGGGTGTTCTAGGCTCGTGAGTCGGGCAAGAGGAAGTCGACTTGCCTAGTTGACAAACACTGGAATGAACTCACCTGCTTGGGCCATGACAAAGAAAGCATGTTGTTCAGCTCCATACGTCTAGCTGACAAATCCTTTAAGCTCTCTTTCAGCTTCACTTCATGGCTCTTCCTTTGTTCCAACATGGACACTAATCTGTCTAGGAATCTGAAAAGTCAACAAGAAACATAATATAAGCAACATGGCCCAATCACATTTGCAAAAGTAAACAGACACATGAGGTACGTTTTGCTTGGCCTTCCAGCTTTGAATAAGCAGAAAATACTGCAACAATACATGCCAGGCCATGATGTGAATGACTTGCATTGAACACAGCACTTACTTTGATGAGCAGACATAGAAAACCTAGAATTTGTGTAAATTATAGAAGAACATCACATGCCTTTTGGTTCAAGCATTAAGAAACCAATTTTATATGAGGGAGGTTTCAGGGTTGAAAATGAAAATAAAAATTAACCTACAGTAGTTCTATACGTATTATGTGCATGTGTGTGTAAGCACAAACATTAAGATATATAAGAACTTAAGATGTATAAGAACTAAAACCAGTATTTCCTTGGCGTTAAGAAGCACCCATACCTCAACACCCTCAGCAGAAATGGCTTTAAATGGGAGACTATATCTGTTCCAAAGGGTTCATTCCTATATGTTTCAAAAGCTCCATCCGCCAAGTGAGAGACTAAAGTGGAAGAATGCAGGTATGAAGTAAGAAAAGGGAAACGGATCATGGTACGGGGGGATGTGATTGTTACAAGGAGAAAGGGGGAACTCAAGGCCTCTCTACTGGGAAGATTTGAACCAACTATAAGAGTTATAAACCTTGCTGACGTTACCAAATGGGCTGGAAGGCTTGGAACACACTGCTTCCAGTTGGTGTAAGGTATCTTGAGAATGGTGTCTACCTCATCAAGTCTCCATCTGAGATCCAGAGGACATGTTCTTATTTCTTAGGGAGCGGCGACCAGGCATGGAAGCACAGCCCGAAGCACACTGATCTGGCTTGGAATCATAATTATTCCTCTGCATGCCAAGGTCAGATCTACTTTTCTTGTGATAGGTCCACTAGATGGCATGGTGAAAGATAATAAATATAGCTGTAATGTCATGGAGACCAGAATCTCAGTTGAGGTGCCTGAAAGAAAACAGTACCCTGAGCAGGTCAACATGGACGTGCCAGGTGACCTACTCTCTGTATCAATAAATTGATTATGACGGGACACCTAATCAAAGACCAGATCCCCTGAGGATGACGTTCAATTCAATGAAAAGTTTCAGGTTCTACCCCAAATAAAGGAGAATAAAAAACCAGATGAAAATACAGTGGAATCTCATACTTCAGATATGACGAAACGGCGGCATGGCAGAAAGGGGAAGCAAGAGCGAAGGCAGCAAAGAAGGGCTGCTATAAGGAAGAAAAAAGGATCACGGAAGGGTAGAAAAGGGGGAATAGTTTCTAAAGAAAATGAGAAACTTAGACAAATTTCATCAAGTCACAGAGAAAGGAATGGTTTATTGTGCATTGAAGCACCAAGCCCAAGCAACATAAAAGTGGGGCAGCCTCCTCTCTATGCTAGATCAGCAAAATCACAGCAGGAGGATGCAACTAGAGATGCTCCTAATCGAAGAGGTATGCCTGCATTAGATAAGTCTCATCCATCAGGCTGGACATTGCTGGAAACTGAAGATAAGCTGGAGGACTGGCCAAAAGATGAGCACAGAGACATGGGAGTTGTCCAGAAGGGAGAAACACAGAATAAAGAGGCAAAGGCTCCACCAATTGTTCATGTGGCTGCAGACCTGACAAATGGCGAACATAGGTTGGAACATAGTAAGGAGACCTGTCATCACATGAGTGACAGTGAGGGCACCTGGTACGTGTTAAAGAGTAGCACACACTTGAGACATGAGGGTCCCATGAAATAGCTATCACTCGGGTTCAAAAAAGAAGCAGATGTGGTGATTAACGAATACTGCAAAATACTTGTGTAGTTTATATTAGCACCTGTCTCCCCAGAGTGCACCGAGCCAAGTACGAGATAGGACGAGGTCATTTTATTAGCAGGAGAACATGACCATCCCCATGATCACACGGACCAAATACTTCTCCAGCCCCCCTCCCCCAGTATGGATGCTATGAGATGAACACACATGGGAAGTAGATCCTACCCCCATAAATACAATTATATTCAATTGGGTCTCTCTTCCTCTCTTATCATTCCAAATAACTACTGCCCATATCCCTCCCTATGAATTTTCAGAAACAAACTACCAGCTAGAGGGTAACATTGAGAATTCCTACTCAAGGGTATTTTGAAAGGTTGAGCAAAAGGAAGGCATGGTACCCTCTCTTTCAAAATCATGTCCAGCTAGAGGATTCTTGTTGTTGGAATTCGACGTCCTTATAAGAGGAATCGTGGGAAACGAGATTCTTGTGTTATAGGAATCTAGATTCAACCAAAATGGAATCGAGATCCCCACATACATGGAATCGAGATTCCTAGCTCTATACAATCGAACTTCCGACCTATTTGGAATCGAGATTCCCTCATTTGTGGAATTCAGATTCAGACATCTTCGAAATCTCAATTTCTAGACATTTCAAAACGACATTCATACCAGTCTGGAATTGAGATTCAACGATTGGAATCAAGACTCAAAGCAGTTTGGATTCGAGTTTCCACCCAATAGGCAATCAAGATTTGTAACCTCATTATAACCAAGCATCAAGCAAATACATGGATAGATAGAGACAAATTTAGAAGTTAGTAGGAGATTACATATTGGATCAACACAATGCATACTAAAAGAATTAAGTAGAGAACGTGAAGCACCACTTTGGTTTCTATTAGTAATTTCATGCCAAAAATATGACTACACCTTGTAGGTTGCGACTGGGTGTCTAGCACGAGTAGTTTGATGCCTTGAAAAACTTCTAAACATCACTTCTCAGAAGAAGAAAAAAAAGAAAGGGACAAAAAAAGGAAATGGTAGAATTCTGGTAAGCATTAAGTGGTATGTGCCTTTGATACCAGCGGTGAAGGTGTGGAGTATTTATTTTTTAATGTTGCAAGGGCAAGCTATTTTAATACACCAAATACCTGCGAAAGAAGTTGTGCTTGCCATTGTTACTTGCAAAAGACATTAGAATGAAACTTGTAAAGAACTTAACACCAGACTTTTCCGTTTGAATATTGATTTATGGAACCAAAAATTCGGCAATGCATTCATCGGATTATTGTTTGGAGCACACATGAACTATAGAAGATAATCATCTCTAGCTTCGGTTTCTAAATAACTCAAATCAGAATCCATAAATATTTCGGCCAATTTATAAGCCACATATTTATGCTCATAGAATATAAGTGTTTTACGGCATTACCATGAAAAAAAAAAACAGATCAAGGTTCTATGAGGGTGGAAATAAGATTAGATGCTTGATTAGTTCGTTGTTGCTTGCATCTACGAAACACGGTAATTGTTGTTCAAGAATCTGGATTCAAAAACAATCAAATTGAGTATTGTTATATGTGGAAACAAGTTTCAACAAGTGTAGAAATCAAGATTCACCAAGTGCGGAATCGAGAATCAGTAAATATTGGAAACGAGATTCTGTAAGTGTTGGAATCAATATTCCTAAAATAAGGAATCGAGATTCCAGACTTCACGGAAATAAGTTCCATGAAAGTTCTTTGTCAGAATCGCCAAATCGGGGTTCCGAATTGCAATCGCGATCTTTGGTGAGAAATTCGGGTAACTATAGGCCAAATTCATATTTCATACCTTAGAGGTGCACAAACAAACTGATTTGGACACCTGAAATGAAAGGAAACTTTTAGGTCAAATTACTGGCTAAATACCACATAAGACATGTGCTACCCTCTAATATACGTTTGATATGGGAAATCCCTGCAGCTCCCAAACATTTGTTTAATGTGTCACGAAGATGAACAATCAGTAACCACCTATTGCATTATAAGTTAGTTTGGGACATATGGGGTTGCGTGTTGAGTTTATTTTGAGTGGATTGGGTTTTCCTGCGTACAATATTGGAGCTTCTAAGAACTTGGAGAGGCACCGTTGACTCAAGCAGGTCATACCTTATGATTTTTGAGTAGCACTGCTGTTGTGTGGGGATTGTATAGAACTTTTGAAGGTAAGCATTCTAGAGTAGCCATAGTGGGGATAAGAGATATAATTACTCAGTGGGCCTATTACAGAGGAGTTTCATGGTTTAGGGGGCACAAGACAATAATGAGCAAGTGGAAGGAGGTAGTGAATAGCAAGCTCCCCGAGTCTCGGACACATTCAGCGAAAATTACCTATGCTGTGTACTGAATTTAAATTTCGGTGGAAGTGCATTTGGAAACCCGGGCCCCTCGGGCGGCAGAAATCATTAAAGATTACACAGGCCAGATTCTCCTAACGTATAAAGGGCAAGCTGGTGTTGGTGATGCTAATATGGCAACAAGTAAAGCCTTGGTTACAGGGTCAAAATTATACTTTCAAAACTCCTTAAACCCTATAATAGTGGAGGGGAACTTCTTAAAGGTTGCTTGATGGGCCTGCAAAGAAGGCCCTTATCCATGGAGATTGGATTTGTATAGGAAATCCAATAGTTATGTTATTGGAGAGAGGAGAGTTTAGAGCATACCTTCAGAGAGGTAAATACCATGGTTGATGCGCTAGCTAGAACCAGAAATAGGAGAGGCTCCATATATGTGGGATCTGACATCCTTCCCTCTTGACTCTATCCCATCTAATTTCATTCCCTTTGTCCCTGAGGTTGTCCATGTTTGTCGGCTCTTATGAGAAAATGGATGAAACCAATTTCCTCCCTAATGCTCAGAGAAAAAGGAACTCACACCAACCTAGTAGATTATTTTACTTTAACAAAAACAAGGACAACTAAGTACATCTGAATTTATGGATTAATACATAGTAGCATTGGCATAATTTTTTATCACTATCATGCTCCAACTTATATACAAGGAACCGATTACATTTTAAGAGTACACTAGGAAGGAGACCGGATAGTCTCTAAAACCAAAATATGGTCCCAAACTTGGGGCACAATAACAAGTTCTTCACAATCAATTTGCAGCAGTAAATTCTCAAGGAAGCCACTGAAGGAATGTACCTCCTGTAAATACCATCATAATATGCATAATATTACAGCCTATCACTCTTCCCTAGATTTCTAACCACGAAAACTCAAAGCTCGCTTGTTCTGCTCAAACTAAGGTCAACTTTTCACAATTCATGTAAACACTAAGGACCACAAAATGTTCCATGAAATAGAAAAATAGCACGAAGGACGAATGCATTATTCCCAAAAATCATTTTGACAATTTTTTTTTTTTTTAAACTGGTTAACTCATTTTGAAATATTTAAAAAGAAATCCAGCAGTATCCACTTTCTTCAGCATTCACTGATGCAAAAAATCTCAAATAAAATAAATATAGACTGCAGGAAGATATATCTGTGTGATTTAAGTTGCCTACGAAAAAACCCCACACCTGAAATTAAGATCAAAATAACAATTATCAAGAGGTGAAAGATCTAGCACTAGCAAACCCCAGATTGCATCAGCAATGTTACAAACTCAGCAAACACCAGAAGAAACATAAAGAGCAGGAGAAGCAATGGATGGAGCATCACCTTTTCGAGTTGAGGATCATGATCAAATCTTGCATCTTTCTGTTGGTAAGCATTGAAATTGCCGAGGAAATCCGAGATGACATTAACTGAATGGCATCAACTGTATACTGCTGTAATACAAAAGGGCAAACTGCCTGAACATGATGTTGCAAAGATGAAGTCTCTTCACTCTTCATCTCGAACAACCTTTGACTCAGGAAACATTTAACCTGCAGAAACTACATTGGTAAGGAGCCAATAAACTGCATTTAAAGAATACAAACAGTTGAAGAAATCCACAATTTGTCAGTCAAGCATCAAAATTGAGAGGAGAAGGGGGGCGAAAGGGTTGATCACCCTAGGGTGCATTTCTAGGGCATCCACCATCCTAATTTTTAACCATTTTAGGGCATTGGCATACATTCTCTTCATCCTGGCCAACAATATAAAAAGACACACATGCATGCACACACAAGCACACATGCAAGTGTACATGTGCACAAAGACACACAGAGAAAGGAAGAGAGAAAGAGAGGGCAAGAGAAAGCACAAAATCTATTGACAATTACTAAATGACTTCTAGTTGAGCAATGCCCAAAATGTTAACTGACTTCTTATAGGGTTTGAATCAAGTTTCTATGCAAGATATAAATAGAGGACAATGATGAGTTTAAGCATACATACATACATTATATATGTGTGTGTGTGAGTGTGTGTGTATAATTCTAGAATGCACCATCGCGACGGTGATTTTAGAAACTCCTACTTCATTTAATTTAACAAGATGTTGCCCTTACAATAAAATTACGATAATTTCTTCTTTTTTTTCAAATTAGTGGGATGGTTGGGATCTTGTAGATTTTAATTTATTTTATAAATCATATAAATCTGAAAGTTGCAGCATGCGTACATCTCATCATCATGCACCCAAAAGATATAAAAGAAATAATTTCAAAATAAAATAACCGAGATACCCCTGAAATATTTGTAAGGGTGTTTTAGCCATCCTCCTATTTGAACTATTCTTTTATATTCATTTCGGTGCACCCTACTAAGGCGTGCACACTTTCAAATTTTCAGGTAAATCCGACATTAAAAAAATCATAAGTTCTGAAGTTAGAAGTTTTAGAGCTTTCACAATTGCACTCATACCCTCCATTGATTTGATGAAAAGGGAAAGATATGGTTAATTTAATTAATATATATAAGACCATTTATGTGACGAAAAACTGAGCGGCCAAGAAAACAATATATCCATAGAATGAGTGTAACTAAGATGAGGACGTTGAGATGGAACCACATACACTCACGTGTATATGTGTATATATGGGGCGAAATACTGAGCAGCCAAGAAACAACATATCCATAGAATGAGTGTAACTAAGATGAGCATGTTGAGATGGATGAGAAGCAAGGAAAAACAGGATAGAGTCCAGAATTAATACATCTAAGAGAACTTATGGGTGGCTCCAATAGGCAATAAGATGAAAGTAGAATAAGCAGTCTGGTCATGTGCAATGTCAACCTATAACAGCACCGGTTATGAAGGGCAATTTAGTTCAAGTGGAAGGCTCTAAAAAGGTAAGGAAAAGGCCCAAAAGGATATGGATGGAATTAGTGAGAAGAAATATGGTGACTTATGGTATGATTGAGGGTATGGCCCTTGATAGAGCAAAATGGCAGAACAGATTCATATAGCTGACACCAAATAGTTAGAAAAATGCTCGGATACTATAATGGTATATAAATATATTTATCTTTGGTACAAGGCGGTCATAATCAATCTTAGACATTGGATGTGAAAGCAAGTGGTTGAGACTGTCCTATCGGCCGGGCTCAAAGTCCAAAAAAAAACGAATTAAAATTTTGTGACACCCAATCTGCTAGATGTCACATAATGTCAGCTATAGATTAACATTACCTCATTGAACCAAAGGTAAATAGTATACAATCCTTGAACCATCAGATCTTGATCTAAAGGTAAAAAATGTATGTTGTTATTTGAATTTTAATCTTTTCTTTATAAATCAAATTAAGGTAAAATGTTAGGCATATATACTTGTCAGCAGCACACACCATCAAAAAAATATATATTTTCAAGAATATATAATGACCAAATTACCCCTGTCATTTTCCAGGGGTAGTTTGGCCACTTTCCAAAACCAAGGGTAATTTGGTCATTTTAAGTTATAGAAAATATTTGTTTTTACATTTTTTTGTCCGACCTAATATGAAGGACACATGCCCAAAATTTCATCTTCATCCATTTTGTAAAAGAATAAAATATATAAAAATTTAAATAGTAACATGCATTTCAAAATCTGACTGTTTGGAGCATAACCTAAATTACTATTCATTTTGGGTAACAACCCATGAAATCTATTGATAATGACTAAAATAATTTCTAGTTGAGCAATACCCGGCTTGTCATAGGGTTTATGTCAAGTTTCTATCCAGGACATAAATGGAGCAAGATAATGTGTTTAAGCATGACAGAAGTCATCTATACACAATCTTAAGGGATCAAACATAGTGGGGGAAAAAAATTAATCATATAAACTCCAAAACATTTACCAAATCCAGTACTGTACATTGGTATGCATATCCAACCAATACTCAAAATGACAAGATGCATGCATGTAACTTTTCTTCCATCAATGCATGCATGTTGTACTTTTGTTGCTTGGTTTGTGCAACAAAGCAAATAAGGGCATGGCTTAGCGTAAAACATCAAGTTGAATGAAGTAAAAATCAAGTGCATTAACAAGTACCTCAAACAAACATTCACCAAAAAAAAGTACCTCAAATAAATCATCCAAAAGCTTATTTCTATACTCTGTATCCAAAATCTGGCTTCTTTCTTCCGCATCACCCTCTGATGATGCCAACATATTTACATCAAACTGATCATCAGAGGGAACATCTTGAACTGCAGCTTCTTCAAGTATATCCATTGAAGAATTTTCAATGCTTATATCCCAACATATTTCTTCATTAGAATTCTGTAAACCAGTGTCTTCATCCAATATCTTTGGCAATTTATTTTCAGGGGGAATGGCCTTATCCATGACCTGCACCTGCAGTTCATCAGTTGCGTTCGGTATTTCATCTTTACCAACCTCACCAATAGACACCTCTGTCTCCTCAACAGTACCAATATCCCAGTCAATCTGAGAGGTCTCCACTGAAACATCCCAGTCAATTTGATCCATAGACACATCAACATCACATAATTGGTTTCCATCCACAGAGTAAGATGATTTTGTTTTGGACGAAACCTCAGAGGATGCTAAAGCCTCGTGACGCACAGAAATGTTAAGAGAAGGAGGGTTTGCATAAAGGTTCGTCAAATTTGGCAGCACAACACCTGCTGTTTTCTGTATAAATCAATTGACATAAGCAAAAAATGATTAACAATGTAACCCCATGGACTTTGGAGAAATCAGTTGAAACATTGCAAACTATTAATATTAAGTTCGGCAATGGTGAGAGAGTGGAACCCACCAGAACAGGCATGTGCACGTTGGTGGGTTGTGGTTCTCTCCAACACCATCAATAAGTCCACTCTTTATTTATATCACACTTACCCTCATCCCAGAAAACAATAAACCGCATTAGCTGCAATATGCACCATTTTCAGGCAGTCTAGGTCCCAGGTTATTAATGAAAAATTGAAGAATTATTTCATTCAACAGTTAGGATAGCAGCATGCATACCTCTTTTTCTGTATGAGCAACTGCCACAAAATTCTTGTAATATTCGATAGCTTGCAAGACAGAGTCATCATTCAAAACTTCCAAGATCTTCCTGAATGTGGCTGGAAGAGACTTTGCAGTCTCAACAAGTTCCATTCTCACATTTATCCCCTGGAAAAGAAAAATACTAAGGATACAAAAAAATATTTTTTCTCTCTAATGTAATGACAATTAAGCAAGTATGAATGACAGATATCCTCTAAAGCAACCAAAGTTCAATAGAGGGTTATGGATCCCTACCTGCAATCCAAGCTCTTGACAAGCATCTGCATACTTTGCCGCAGATATATTTGCAGTTCTTTTAATATCGGCTTCTTTGCGTTCCAAATCTGCTAGTTGTTGCCGAACTTTCTGTACCTGCTTTTTCTGATAAGGGCTTCAAATGATAGAGCACAAAGGTCAACATTCATGGAAATGGAATAAATGAATATGGAACTTCTAAGTCTTCAAAATACTACAGAGAATCTTGATGATAACAAAGTTGGTGAGCACAAACTACTCGAAGGAATGACATACATCTCATAATTGACGTTTTGAACCATAATTTGAGCAGCTTCCCCAAGAAAAATATAGTCTTTTTCAAAAGCTCGCACTATGGACTCCCATTCGCCCTGCCGATAAATGACAACAACATTATACCAAAAACATTCAACAAGCAATGCTTATATATATATATATATATATATATATATACATAAAAGACAGAGAGCTTACAGCAGAACCAGATAGTCGACCAAATATATTCCGTGTTTGCGGTGTTGATCTTAGCAGTATCTCGTATATTTTCTTTGCTTCCAAGTATCCAATTGCTGACAAAAGTATAGGCACTATTAGAAGAAGTTCTTCTATCAAATACCAGAGCTACAATCTAATTGAAATCAATTCTTCCCAGGCACTTCCAAGTTCAAAATAAAAAACAAGGAAGGTCAGTATGCTTTCAAAATAATTTTTAGATTCATTGTAGAATCCAAATATGCCATCATATTTTCAAAAATCTAGCCCAGTTTAGATATGTACATGCTATTGTCAAGAAGGAATCAACCAATCATGGTGATTACTTATAATATCCATTCAATGAATTAAAACTCAGACCAGGACTTGCCCATTCTGGAATTTTAATTGACTAAGCCAAAGTGGAATCCAGGTATTCTAGCCCTCGTTGGAACTTGGGACCAGGCCAGGTAGACAATGGCCAAGCCAACATTGAGCAGTGCCCAAGTTTATCAAAGCCAGGAAAAGAATTAGCTAAGTCCCAACAGAAACAATGCTAGACTGTCGGAGTTTGAGAGAGTGAGCTTAACCTAACATCTTGAGGGTCCAATAGAGAGGGACTTCTACAGAGAGAATTGCTTCAACCAATCCCATTTTGAAAGAGATTAAAGCCTTGACTCCACCCTGGGGAATGAAATTCTCAACCTAAGGGAGTGTGATCAATACACTAGGATTAGGAGACTACCAAGAACCCAAGAGGCCAAGTTCAAGAATGACTGGACCCACGCTTCCATCAAATCGTCAAACCAAGTGGAGGCTAAGGAAAGTGCACAACCCCCTTACCCCTATATTGCAAGGTAAACAAGATTATAGAACTTGTTGGGTATAACTTTGTGCTTCCTTTACTTGAATTTATTCTTTGTTCTGAAATTTGCAGGTCAATCAGAGATATCTCCCTGCCATAATGTAGGAGAGTGTAAATCAAAACTTGGGGTCAAGTCCTGAACCCTATGCATATATTTAAATTTCTTTTGATCTAAAGTTTATGCGTGTTCTCTGGTTGAATTGAAGTATGGGATCTCAAAGTTCCTTCAAAAAACACCATCCACGCACACAACGTGCAACTCAAAAATCAGTCCAACCAAGTTGCATGGCTAGTCGAATACATGTAAGAATAGATCTTGTCTCAGCTGTACTAAACTCTTAGAAGTCTAGTAGAGAGGAAACTGCCAAACTTGTCATCCTTAAATGAAAAGAATCCTCAAAACCTGAAGGGCCCAGGTTTCCCTAAAAATCCATCAAAATAGGAGTTTCAAAATGCCCATTGGAGGTCTAGTCCATCTCCCTCCCTAGCAAGGCTTCATTGGGCAGGATAAAGTATAACCACATTTCTTCAAACACTTAAAAGATCCAGCACTTCAAAAATATGGAATCCAGACCAAATTAGTGCCCATAAGATATGCATTCTACTTATCTTCTCCTTCACAGCATCAAAAGATGCACTTTCATGCACAAAAGCTCACTCATCCCTCTTCCTTCATAAGCTCTAACCAATGGCTAAGGAGGAAAGCTTTCAAAGAGTCTTACCTCTCTCTGGTAGATGAAGAAAGTTCATCCATGTACTAGCCCAGAGACTGATTGAGGCCTGCCCAATGAAATCCACAAGCCTTGATCATCAAAGGCCATGGAGCACTTGCCCCAGGACCATGTCCTTGTTTTCCTCACATATGTAAAATCTATGTGTATCCCAAAAGATATCCAAGTTCTATTACCCACCGAAAACCCAATACCTCCGATAAAATCCACCCACCAGCCTCATCACCCTCCATATAGCAGAGGGACTATAACTCTTGCAATGAACCCCACACACCAATCTAAAGTCTCTTCACCGTATCTGCTCTTAACGACCTCCATACATGAGCCCCCTTCCTCTTCCCTTTGCTTCAACCATCATTTATGCACCCAGCACTGCCTTTTTAATGTCTTTTAGCCTTTTGAGATCTAAGTTTCCCATAGTTTTCAGTAAATAACAGAACTTGCGACCCTTACTGCCTCCTTGGCAAAGGAATTCTCTCTGCAAATTTTCTAATTTAAGGCACCATGTTTTTTTCAAGAGTAATTTAAGGCACCATGTTTTGCTTGTAAAACTAAACAGTGGTCTCTAACCCCCTTATCTCATTCTTACTCAAAAAAAAAAAAAACAAACCTTTATCTCATTCAATATGACGCTTAGGGTTGCCAACTTCGTCCCTTCTGCATCTAGTTTTTCATGTGCGCTTCTGTTGTGGGTGAACCGGTGAAGGATCTTGTTTTGTTTGGTTTTATATTTTAAAGCACTGATCATAGGTTCTCTTTTCAACAAAGTATCCACAATCTAAAAAATATATGTTTCTCCCACTAGAAGAAGACAGAGAAGATTCGCTCGAATAGGGCATTGGAAACTTTACCAACTAAAATTTGAAGAAACGGACCTAACTATAACTACAGCCTATAGGTGAATGAATTCCTAAAGCAAGCCTAAAATCACCCCATAAACACCAAAGCTCAATAAACTCACAAGCTTAGACACACCCCTTAAATTCAAAGTTCCTTATAATCAATCAAAGAATCACTTCAAAATGAAGAAGTGTCTCCAGCAATCCACTATAGAAAGTGAAATGAGCTAACTAGCAAAATAGTGAAACAATCAGTGAGAGCTCTTATAAGCCCTCCGAAACTACCCAGTCAATGAAAAGGCACCCATTGATGTTTACACTGACACACTACCAAATTTTACGAGAGAACAGCTAACATGTGGCATGAGACAGACTTTACATAGTCAAAATTAAAAACAAAATGAATCTCCTATAGTATATTAACCATGGAAATAGATAAAAGTGATCCAAAACATCCTACTTCACAAGACAAATAAACTAACAGATTAACAATTAATGGGATATGAATATTAAAATGAAAGAATAAGACTATGAACCACGAAATCAAACAACTAATCAAAATAAAAACAAACAGAAAGTGTGCCATTCTCATAATATAAACGAATATAGAACTTTGCCGTTCGTACAATCACAAAACAAACGAATAAAACTTCTAAACCTCAACTATATCCAAATTCCCATGAACTTACAATCTGAATCTAGGGTTTGGAAATAGGTATCTAAATCCTTAGGCAGCGATGCAAAGGAAGATGAAATCTGTTTATGATTCGAGCTCAGCCGTTTACGCCAATCTCCCGGAATCTTCTTTCTATCGACGAGCCATTCTTCAAGGCAAAAATAAAATTTTATAGTAATTCATCTGAGAAAGGTTTCATTAAAAAAAACAACAACTCCATGAATTTAGGGTTCAGAAAGTGGGAAATTTGAGTTTGAGTACCTCCAAGACGAGAGAAAGCAATATCGATCGGAAGATTGCGGATTTCAGCTTGATCTTGCATTTTTTAGCCGATTAAAGCTAGTAGGATCATCGACTATACGGAGAGAAGATTGAGAAAGACAACTGACTAAAAATGCGAACAAGAGATTTTGGCTTTACCATGTCATCGTATATAAGGTAAAAAGGCCCCCTGATCGAAGAATCTCTCCGAGAATTCAATTCTCCCTTCGGCTGATAGTTACCATGCGCACCATTATTCTCAGTTATTAGAACGCGGTACACAGTTTGATTTTTTTTTTATGTAGATTCTATAAAGCCTAGGGTTTATGAAAACAAAATAAAACCTCATCTTAAATCCTCGTTCCAAAAGCATTCCAAGATGGCCGTAAAACCAATTTTCACCACCGACAAAAAAAATTTGACATTAAAAAAAAAAAAAATGTAGGAATCTTATATATTTATGAACTCTCAGTTTTTAGGGCGAAATGGACAGTTTTTAGGGCGAAATGGACAGACTAGATATTTTGTTACAACATACAATAGATAATTTCAATATAAAGATTTTTCAATACTTGAATTACAATTTTCCATAAATTATAAGGTGAGATTTTACCTATTTTTATAAGGCTACAGCCCTATCAAAACCATTTTCCTATTGAAATTCATGTCAATTTAATGATGGTCGTCCCTTGTCTCTCTCCAGCAATCCACTCATTGGATCTTGATGACTACCGTGAGCAAGTAGCAAATATGGCCATGAGGATTACAATATACAAACCATATCCAGAAAATAAAATTATATCAAACATCAAAGCTACTATGTGATACGCCACTGTATTACATAGTGAGACCCCATCATCACCATTGATAATGGACTGTGGTGGAGTTATTGATCATCTTGACTAGCATTTATAAGCCATTTCTGGTAGAGATCAGATCCTGCATGCCACCATAGGCTATAGTTTCCTAAGATCATGGGTCCATATGGTGTACCATGATAATGATATATATCTCATGGAAACAATGTCTTCGGAGAAGGGCTTTTCTTTATTGTTTTTCTTTGTTAGATCAGGAGGTAGAATTCAAACTTCAAATATATTTATGGTTAAAATCAGCAACACCTTAGCCAATCAAACCCAAGCCAAAACCCGATCATCGTAGGGTTGTCACCATCTCATCAATAGATTTAACAGTAAATGACTAAATGTCATGGATTGATCTGTGCACTTTAAATTAAAATAAGTTCATCAAATCCAACCCAAAATCCATTTATCAAGTTACACTGAAAATGTCAACTAACCTACCTCGCGATTATGTGGCATTTGATAGGCCATAACAAAGATCTATGAGGTGAACGATCCACCCACCCATATGGGTTTTGAAGCGCTTCTGTTTAGCCTGACTCGAGATATTTTCGGTTGTCAATTTTGCAGTTCGGGATTATAAGACGTAAAGTACATATTGAGGTAGAATAATGTTTGAGCACCTTCCTTTAGTAATCGATACATAAACACTCTTATGATCTTCAATCATTTACGATTTTTATTTTTGGAGGTTCTCTGTTTACTCTCAACAAAACTCTCAAAATTTTCATTCCTAGGATAACTATTGTAATTTGTGTTCTCCACTTTGAACAGTGGCTTTTACCAGCTAAGGTAGTATTTTTCTCAAATTGTTTCTATAAATTCATATATAATCCATAACTAAATAAAGAAAAGGTATGATGTTCATGAAGAACTAAACGATATTTGAAATAAATTTTAACCATAAATTAGAAATGATGTAGTGCTACCACAGATTTGTGACGAACACAAGATAACCTACCAAAACTATGTTGTACTAGATAATCGAAAATCCCTACTTTCACATTGACGGTTCAAATCTTATACCTTTAGGGATGGTGCTTCCAAAATCCATTTTGGAGATAGATCGAGGATCAAAAGCTTTATAGATCTACCATCTCAGCTATAATGATCATGAATATGAGAAAATGAATTTTGAGCGTTAAACGGTCCATCTTGTGCCATATTTTTCAAGCATTCATTCCAATGCTTCATAAACAATCAATATTGTTTTTGGAGCACTTCGCATGGATTTGAGGCTATGATGGATTTGCAAAGACTTGGGATGTATTTTGAGTCTTAAAATCCTTTGAAAAGATGCACTAAAATATTTTCCCTTTCATGTCAATCCATGTTTCTATAGCAAGTCATGTTCATCATGTACATATTCAGGGAGTATAGTGTTGGATTTATGTGGAATTTAATGGCCTCATGAGTGTCTAATAAAAACATTTTATAATGGAACATAAATTCAGTGGAAGTGTGGTCTCTCGTAGACCATATTAAGCAAATGATATTTACTGATACTAGACTGTGCTTGACGATTTAGGCCAGTCAGGTTGAGAAAAACCCAAGGTACCTGAGCATATAGAATAAACCGAGAAGGGTTTGGGGTTATTCCTTGATGAGGTCGGAGCTTATGTCTAGATGAGTGAGCCGAGGGACTGTGTGACCCTTGTGTGATGGTGGGCCTACAAAGACAAGGGCCAAAACATCATCTATAATTCATCACACGGCATGCATATCGATAGATCGTTTGGGAAAGCCAGAAAGCCACCTTTTAGGGTGACTCGTATGTATGTGCGTGAGATACCTCTATGCACCATATAACTGTAGTCGTATCAGGTCGTGGTGACCTTGAATCGTCTCTAGGGGAGAACCTGCAATCTTCTGACTGGGAGTGCAAGTCCTTGGCTCATCGGCCAAACTTTGGTGACCCGTTAATGAGCCCATACTTGGACTGTAGGTCATGAGAAACACTGGGTCGATTCGATAAAGTAAGTGTGGTCTGTAGTCCACATTTGAAGGTCGAGTGCCGCATGATTGCAAATTAAATTTCTAAACCATATGGATCCATTTTCCATCAAATTAATTTAGAAGTGTTTGTTTTGTGATAAAAATTATTTTAGAACTATTATTTGAATTTTTATGAGTCTTTGATATTTTATTTATAATTTTTAAACTTATAAAAATAAAGTTATTGATTTTACAAAGTTATAAAATTCAAATCATGTTTTAAAATTATTTTGTTAATTTTAAAATATTTATAAAATCTCATGAGGGCTCATAATGCGCATGGGCCCACCATGTGGCAATTGGGTGGGGCCCACACGTGCCACATATGGGTGGCACGCCCCACCCCTTGCATACCCCTTTTGTTACTTTGTGATCAAGTTATTTATATTTGGAAAGTTGATCTTGTTGCATGTGGTCAAATATTATATGGTATATTTTGACCATATCTTATCTAATTGAGTTAGAAAATATTAATTTGATATCTTTTGAAATATTTTTATGGATATCTTTTGAAATATTCTTATGGAATATATGAGATAGATTATGCAATTTTATGGAATGCATGATATTTTAATAGATTTAATTTATTTAAATATATTGATGAGAAATTAGTTTAAAGAAGGGAAATAATGGTCCATGCACCTTCCATAATGTTGATAGCCCATCTATAGAATGAATGACTCAGATCTTTCATCCCACAAGTCACCTTCCTCGGGCTCTTTCTTTCTCTCTCTCCTAAAAACCTAAGGGGAACGCCCCAAACCTATGGCCTCCCATTCTCTCTCATGACCAAAAATCCTAAGGGTTGGAAAAAATTAGGGTTTGAGCCTAATTATTTTGGATTTAGTTCGTAGAGATTTAAAGGTGAATACTTAGTTTAGCCGAAATTAGCTTTCTTAATTCGAGATTAAAGCAAGACCGTTGATCCTGTGCTATCGGATGTTGGTGACTCAGTGTGAGGTATAATAAGCCCAGTTGAGGTAATCTCCGACATCTTTTTTTATTTCATGCAAATTTATCTTTATATTCTAAAGCATAGTGTTTAATTGTGTAAATGGCATCAAGTCATTGAGTTTTGTTTTATTATTATGTTGGTTTTATTTTGAGATATTTATTGATTGTAATAAGACCATCTATAAGTGATCTTTTTTACAAAAACAAAAGAGTTTTAAAAAAAAACAATTTATATTACCCAGCAAAAGGTGACATAAGTCTTCTTTCATATAGGTGTCTCCTGTTTGTTTTCACTTAAAGTGTCAACCCTGGCTTCTGTCTTCTTTCATATAGGCGTCTCTTGTTTGTTTTCACTTAAAGTGTCAACTCTGGCTTCTCTCTTAGTTTTAGTGCAAGATAGGCATTGTATGGATCGGAAGAGCTTTAAAACTATAAACTTCTTAAGTGGCATCAGGCCGTATTGCTCAAGGATTTGTGTTGAACTAAAACATGCTAGGTGTGTAAGGTTCAACTAGTATTAGAGGAGTCTTTCAGTTTTTTTGGATTTCGTCGTTCATGTAAAAAAAACTCTATCATATGATTAGATGTATGAATATTTTTACATCAATTGACTGCCTATTGATGTGAAAAAATGCACTGGGATCACTTTTTGTGAAAAAAACTCCGACACCTAATCACAAAAGGGAGTTTTTCAAGAAGTATTTTCATACGTACTAAACATGCTAGTGAACTTCACATTATGCTATGAGTAAAAATAGTACAGTCATCTTTATCTTAATTTCTTCGTTTCCGTTCTTTCCATATTTTCTTTCACCCCTCATTTTCATATTGCTAGAAACTCTGAAAATGTTTGAGGAATCATTTTGGGAACCAGTGTTCAAAAAAACATATTGGCATTGATAAGTACCTTTGAGTCTCTGACCATTATTTATGTTTCATTAACATTATTTTGATTCCCCTCTTTCATATAAAGGACGGTTGTTATCGACTTTATAATACAATTACAACAGTATTGGTCCTTACAACAGTATTGGTCCTTAGTTATTATTGGTGAATATCTCCTTGTGAACCTTAGCCACCATTTGGTCGCCCAAAAACTCCACTAAGGAGAGAGTTAATTAGAGATATGTGAAAAAAATGGTTTTTTTTTGTCTTTTTTTGTTTTGAGGAACTGGGGTTGTTTTGACAGTGATATCAAGAAGGTGGTCAGCTATGAAAAGCAGAGGGAACCTGGGTTTGGTATTGTTCGCTTTCTTCAATCTATTTTGTTGCAAACTTCCTTTGTTCAATTCTATGCTCTCTTTGTGTGTCATTGGGAATAGACTTTATTACCTATCGCTTAGGAAATAATAGAAGTTAATCATAGCTAGAAAGATGAAGCCATAAAGAAAAAGAGAGTGAAACTCTTAAACGGATAAAGAGATGTAATGTAAATATATGAAAAATATATTTACAAAGCAAGAATTACTAGACTGTTAGGATTTAAGAACCTCTTAAATGTGGTAATAGGA